TGAGTGAGTGAGTGAGTGAGTGAGTGTGTGTGAGAGAGAGAAAGAGAGAGAGAGAGTGAGAGAGAGAGTGAGAGAGAGAGACAGAGAGAGCTTTCAAGGACATGAAAGGAGAAAGCAAAGGGAGGATAACTGGATTACATCAATCTGTTTGCTGTTTGTGGGTAATGGGCTCTAGATAATGTATTTTAATACATGAAGTACAGTACAACATGGGGAATAGTAGTGCACTGTTTAATATCAGACGCAGATGGCAGTTGATAATCAGTTTGCATTATATACACTATCAGTCAAAAGATTTTTAAATGTTTTTGAAAAAAGTCTCTTATGCTCATTATTAATGAGCACCAATAATAAGCAGCAAATCAATATATTAGAATGATTTCTGAAGGATCATGTGACACTGAAGACTGGAGTTTTGTGTGCTGTGTGTTTTGTTGCTTTAAATGCTTGAGCTCTTTAAAGCCGGATGGATTCTGATTGGCTGTCATTGTTTTTATCATTTTTATCAACTGGAGAAAAAAAACACTTTTAATGTGATTTTAACGGTATCTCTCCTCTGTGTCATTATGATTATAGTTTTTGTGTGGATTTCCCAATCCTCAAAGAGCGATTTTTAAAGCATTATAGTTATCATTGTTGTCTTTGGTGAGAACGGACATTTAGTTTACTAGAGCTGTCATATTGAACTTCGTACAGCACTGGTTGTGTTTGAGCGTGACGCTTTGTGTTGCTCTCAGGGAACAGATCAAACGGGTGAAGGACTCGGATGACGTGCCCATGGTGCTGGTGGGTAACAAGTGCGACCTCCCGGCCCGGACGGTGGACACACGGCAAGCGCAGGAGCTCGCGCGCAGCTACGGGATCCCCTTCATCGAGACCTCAGCCAAAACACGACAGGTCAGTCAGTTTCTGACAGGCATTTAAAGAGTCATACATTTTATTGATCTATTTTTTTATTTACTTGCAGCAAAACTAGTGAGACTGTGTCTAGTGTCGAAATTTCCTAAAGCATAGTCATCTGAGTAAACTGTGTCCAAAATAACTGACCCACATACAATACAGTGTTTCTGACTCGGTTTATTTCAAATCTTTTTTTGTTCTTTGTTTTTGCTTTGCTTTGTTTTGTTGATTTTTTAGCTTTTCTTTGTTTGTTTGTTTTTGTTTTTTAAGCTTTGTGATGTGTTTGTTTGTTTGCTTTTTTTGTGTGTGCTTATTTTTGTGTTTGTTTTTTTTCTACCGTTTTTTTTTTGTTTTGTTTTGGTTTTGCTTTGCTTTGTTTGTGTTTTTAGTTTTGCTTTGTTTTGTGTTTTTGTTTTTTTTAGCATTGCTTTGTTTAGTTTTTTAAGCTTTGTGATGTGTTTGTTAGCTGTTTTTTTTTGCTTTGTTTTGTTATCTGTTTGTTTTTTTCTACTGTTTTTTTTGCTTTTTGGTTTTATTTTACGTTGTATTGTGTTTTTAGTTTTGCTTTGCTTTGCTTTGTGTTTTTTGTTTTGTCTTTTTTAGCATTGCTTTGTTTTGTTTTTTAAGCTTTGTGATGTGTTTGTTTGTTTGTTTGCTTTTTTGTTTTGTTTGTTTTTTTTCTACTGTTTTGGTTTTGTTTTGCTTTGTTTTGTGTTTTTAGTTTTGTTTTGTGTTTTTTTTTTAGCATTGCTTTGTTTTGTTTTTTTAAGCTTTGTGATGTTTGTTTGTTAGCTTTTTTTGGTTTTACTTTGTTTTGTGTTTTTTTCCCTTTGTTTTGTTTTGCTTTGTTTTTGTTTTTTAAGCTTTGTGTTGTGTTTTTGTTTGTTTGCTTGCTCTTTTTGCTTTGTTTTGTGTTTTTGGTTTTCTCGGGTTTTATAAGTTTATGGTTCTGTAAGATTCTTTGGATTTACAGCATTTAGTACACACACACACACACACTCACTCACTTACACACAGACACACACACACACACACACACACACACACACTTACTCACACACAGACACACACACACACACACACACACACACACACACACACACACACACACACACACACACACACACACACACACACAATGTAACGAAGG